AGTCAGGTTTATCCTTTTGATCTTTTATAATCATCTCTCCAATGAAATCTGTTCAGTAACCACTTTCCTCCTATCCATCTATTATGGATAGAGAGAAATCATCAGAGGCTTATTTCCTATGTAGATCCCACAAATGTATCTTGGGTTCCCACTGTCATCCATAGCCGTCTATAAACCAGATTCTCATAATTTAGACTCTGATACTATTCCCTCCTTTGACTTCGGATTAGATGATTTAGAATCCTTTGGTTACTGATGATGTGTGCTTCTTCCATGTGGACTTTGTTGACATCTCACTTAGATGGCTGCTTGTTTGGAGACAAGCCTTTAAGACCCCAACACTATTTTATCCGATAGGTGGAAACCATCCAATTTCTTTCACCAGAGTTTGCTGTAGCACCCATATCTTCATGTAACAACTAATTGTTCTTAAGTTGGCTCTAGGAGTTAGTGCAAGCCCAAAACCCTTTCCTGGAACTATGCTTATTTATCTATTGATAGATAGATTAGATAGAGAGATAGAGAGATAGAGAGATAGATAGATAGATAGATAGATAGATAGATAGATAGATAGAAAGAAATTAAGAAAGAAAGAAATCTACCTTTAAGCCAGTGGCATAATTTAAATGCACTGATTCTTCTTCAGTCTCCCTGTTCAATGTCCAAGTTTCACAGACACATGATGCAATTGAAAAATACCATGTCTTGGGTCAGGGAGACCTTAGTCCTCAAACGCATATTCTTGCTTTGAAACACTTTAAATATATTTGGTGCAGCAGATTTACCAAATGCAATGCGCCATTTGATCTCTTCATGGCTGTTTCCATAAGCATTGATTGTGAATCAAAGCCAGGTGAAATCCTTCTCAACATCAATCCTTATTTCTTGTGATGTTAACTACTGATCCAATTGTGAAGATTTTTGTTTTCTTTACATTAGAATGTAATCCATATTGAAGGCTGTAATCGTTATCTTCATCAGTAAGTGCTTCAAGTTCTTCTCACTTTCTGCGAGCAAGATTGTGTTATCTGTACATAGTAGGTTGTTAATAAGCCTTCCTTCAATCCTGATGTCTGTTCTTTTTCGTATAGTCCAGTCTTTTTAATTTTCTCAGCTTTATAGTCTGTTCTTAATTTATAAACTCTAGTGAAATCTGTTAATTTTGGGGCTGTTGGCATTTGAAATACCAGTGACAGCTTTCAACATCATAGCAACCCACAAGCCACCACAGTATGACAAATGACACACAAGTGGTAGAAAATGCACTGATGAAAAACAGACAACAAATGTTGGTAAGGATGTATGGAGACTGAAGTCCGTACCCATTACGGATTGGAGTGTAAAAAGTGTACACTACAATGGGAAATAGTACAGAAGGTCCTTAAAAAAAAACAAGAAACCCCCTTTAATCCAGCAATATCATTCTTAGCTATATATTGAGAAGACCTAAAAGAAATGACATAAACAGGTATATGCACTGCTATGTTCACTATAGTATTATTCATAAATGTGAAAAAGAGAAATGTCTAAGTATCCTCCAATGAATGAATGTATAAGTAAAATATGGAACATTTTGGGTGACTCTGCTGGCATTTGAAATACCAGTGACATATATCGCAGCATCACAGGAACACAGAACCCAACACAGTACGAAAAAGTGATAGACAAGTAGTGGAAAAAGGCCCAGATAAAAACATAACAACAGATAATAAATGTTGGTGAGTAAAAGAGTAGATCAAATGGAATATATAATAGAATAATGTGCGACAATACATAATGGTGAGTCTGTGGAACATGTTATCAGAAGGATAGATCTGGAGGATATAATGCTAAGTATATCAATCACATAAGAAAAAATATTACAAGACCAATATTATATAGGAAGACTAGATATCTATATATCTATACATATATATATCACAAACATGCACATACTTACAGAAACCAATGTTCATTTGATTATTAGGGATGTGAGAGTTCATGCTCTAGATTTAGATACCTGTTATTTTTGGTGATGGGAAAAGTAGCACAGCATGAGGATGCAATGGGCACAGTTTGACCATCATAAACAATTCCACTAAGGAATGCAAAAGAGAAAAGGATGTTTGTGCTAACTAATATAACATACATAATTTGGCAACAAAAAATTTAAAAACAACCAGAAAATGCTTGTATGGTCACATGCTCAGGTACATAGGCATATATGTATATAAGTAAATACTGGTTAGTATATATGTTTCCACAGGAAGTAGTATCTGTATGCATGTGAATGTACAGATATGTGTGTGAATGCACAGATAATCAAAAAGAACACAATTACAGATACTTTTCAAACAAAACCAAATATTTTGTTATAATGGTTTACTAGATTTGAAGTATTTAGGACCTTAGACTCATAGGATAACTCAATCAACTGGTATAATATAGTTCAAAAAGTTCATAATCTGAATCCTACTGTAGTGAATGTGGGGTTTTAAAAAGCTCATGAGCAGCCATCTGAGAAACAATTGTTGTTATCTATTTGTTAAGAGCAAAATAAAAAGATTGAGGTCAAATTACAGAGAATAATTAAATTACAGGGCTAATTGCCAGGCTCATTTACCCTGGTGCTAATGGAACTGCATGGTGCCTGGTTATCAGTAACAACTATTTTGATCAGTGCAAAAGGATGCAGATGGAAGAGAAGACAAACTTAAAAAAATCCAAGGTCTTTAAAAAATCCAGACTTACTGAACCAGCTGAAATTGGAGGACTCCCTAAGATGCTAACCCTGACCAGAAAATACTGCCCCCCAAGCTTACCTTTTAGCAAAATAACAGATTCTCAGAGTAAAGGATATTACCCACGAGTGCAGAGCTTCATTAAAAACCATCTATATGAGATTAAAAACCCTAATGGCACTGTTGGACTGTTGAACACAAGGATGGCAGTTCAAACCCACTAACTGCTCCTTGGGAGAAATATGAGGTTATCTACTCCAGTAAAGATTTACAGTCTCCGAAACCCTATGTAAGGTTGCAATGAGTCAGAAGAGACTCGATGGCAGTGGGTGGGATGTGAGACAAAGAGGTCAACAATTACTGTAAAGCAAATATGAGAGGACAATGGGCCAGGGACTCTGGAATATTGGATATAAACAACCAAATAGAAATTATTGAGAATGTAGGCACATTGTAAAAAATGTAACTAATGTACTGAACAACTGGTGTAGAAACTGTCAAATGAGTACCGATTTTGCTGTGTAAACTTTCACCAAAAACACAGAATTTCTTTAAGGATAGAACTAAACAAATAGATTCATAATTATTTTTGGGATGGGAAAATAGGCATTGCTTCAAATACTATCATGATAGTAAAGGTATATTTTAAAAATAATATGCCAATACATTCAACAAGGGACAGATTCTTTTGGAGAAAAACCCAGTGCTCACTTAAGAAGAAACAGATAACTTAAATAGTTACATCAATTGAAGAAATGAGTTAATAGCTCAAAACTTTCCAATAAAGAAAACATAATTCCCAGATGTATTCACTGATGAAGTCTAATAAGCATGCCAATTCTAAATAAGCTTCAGAAAACCGATTAGGAGGAAATAGCTACTGATGCAATTAAAAAGACCAATACTACCCTACAAAAAGGCCAAACACATTACAAGAAAACAAAACTGCAAAGTAAATATTCCTCATGACTATAGATGTAGAAAATTCTAAACAAAATTTAGCAAATAAAAACGGGCAATATATATATATGTATGATTAATTGATATTTGTCCTGGGAATGTAAAAATTGCTTTAACAATTTAAAATCATGTAATTAGGTGTAATAACAAACCATAAAAGAAAAAAAAATGTTGTCAGGTGCCATCAAGTTGGCTCTGACTCACAGTGACCCTATGTACAATAGAACAAAACACTGCATGGTCATGCTATCCTCACAGTTGTTACACATCCGGAAATCCACTTTGATTTTACAAATCATTCTGTTTACAAGTAAAAATGGACCACTGTGTATGTTAAAACACCTGTGGAGCATTTACCTAGTTGTAAATAACTTCTTAGCTTAATTTTATCCCAAAATACTTATCTAATTTTTGCTTTAACTAGGTTGACCATATATCACAGTTTTCATGGAGCACTCATGGTTTATGCCTTTTCCTCTTAATTCCTCTGGTTTGGAAGATAAATTTTATGGCACCCTACCTTTAATTGACTTAACGTACAAAATGGTCCATTTTTACTTGTAAACAGAAATATTTCCAACGCCAAAGTGGATTCTCCTGATGTGTAACTCAAAAATGATAATATGGCAAAAGGGGCCATGTATCTTAAGTGCTTATAAAACTTTATAATCACTGCTTCCTAATTAAGACAGGAACAAAATGTTTATTAGGTTACATACTTTCTTTTAAGATTTTGAAGTCATTTTAATAGGATATAATTTCTATTTTCCCCGTATAGCCTCTCAGAATCAGTTAACACTATGAAACTAACAACATAACCAACAGTCAATCTCTGTGCTGAAGAACAAGTGATGGCACAGAGAACCTAGAAATACATTTTAGTCAGCTTTGACTGCCTTTTCCTAGTTCGTTTATATTTTTAAAAACTAGTTTATAATCCCTGAACACATATAAATGGATAAGAGAAAATTGCCAGATTTAAAGAGCCCTGTTGGCAAAGTGGAGTAGGCAAGGTCAGCAGTTTGAACTCCCTGGGAGAAAGATGAGGCTGTCTGTTCCCATAAAAATTCACACCTTTAGCAATAAAAACAGGTGTAGTTCTACTCTGTTCTATAGGGTTATTACAAGTCAGAATCAACTCAGTGACAGTGAGTTTGTTTTCGGCATATTTGATCCACATGTAGATGTGAGCTGACTTAATTATAAACCAAAAACCAAACATATGACATCATCAGATATCCTTCAAATAGAGATTAGGAAATATAAAGAGGTTAGCAATTTAACTCAATGCAACAAATAAAGTATATTTATAATATATACCTTAGCTCCATCTGAAATATTGTCCCAGTTTCCACCACTCAAAGAAAACTTTCCATTACCTATACGCAGCAGTATCTCTTCAGGAGTATCATTTGGGCCATTAGCAAATGGAGTATAGCTATTAAAAATAAAGAATAAATGTGATGAATATAGGACTACAGTTGACCCCTGAACAAGGATGAACCTGTTCATGTAGAGATTTAATGTCATTTTAGTGAAATTTGCAACCCTTAAGCTCACTGCAGGGGAGAAAAAAACACATTTAAGTGGGCCCATGTGGTTCATACTCATGTTGTTCAAGGATGGACTGTAAACTCAATTGGGATATTCTGATACATGGATGGTTAGCATCCCTCGCTCCTGCATTTTTTTCAAGGGTCAACTGTATGTGAAAATATTTACTATAGCAAACTAAAACTCTCACGTAAAATCTCCCTTCACTGTGCCATTATGTTTTATATTTAAAATAATGAACTTGATTATTTAATAAAACTGTCTATACCAGTAGCTTTTCGCTTTTTAATTAAAACCTTTGATGCATAAATTAATGTAAAAGAAAACAAAAGTTGCTTTTAAAGTAAAACAAAACCAGGTCAGAACAAAACTTGCAAATTTTACATTCACTTAAAGTGTGAATTAGGAAACCTAGTACAAAACATTTTTCTATCTTTGTAATATACTTATTGTAGTCATTCAAATTTTTTCTTTAGGATTCCATTAATATTATCTGTGCAAAAAGAATAATACTAATCTAATGTCTATGAAAATTGACGGCCTTGGTTCAGGCTGTTGGCTGCCCAGTCAGGGTGTGAGGGCCGCCTTGAGTGGAAAGAGCTAAGTGTTCAGGGCACCAGTACTCAATACACTTAGCTCAGGAGGGCGTCAAGGTCTATTTCAGGGCAGAGGAACAATCACTCTGACCTACAAATGCCATCATGTGTGAGGCTCTAACAGTCAGCAACTCAGAAAGGTATAATGGGTTATTTTAGGAACAAGGTGGAGTCTGTCTTCCTAATCACCAGGAGGGAAGGGGGTCAGAGCCTTCACTTTAGCACTTGTGATCTACAACTATTTCATATAAATTTTAAATATATCTAAGAGTACATAAAATATTCTAGCATGCATAATATTTATCAAACCAATAAATAATTTAGAATCACTATTTTATAACATATTTATAAAGTTCCTGGTATATCATGTATATCAAGCATATTTAATTATACTAAATGCACTCTTTAGAACATCATGCTTAAGAAATTTATAATTCTTCTAATTACCTTCTACACAGTAGACTTTGCTAAATATCATTTTGTCTAATAAAGATTTCTTAAAATAAACTTTATAAGCATAAGGCTCTCCTCAAATAAAAATGAAGAACTTCATATTATAAGAGTAAAATTAGCACTTGTGTTATTTGTAAATAAGCAACATTCATATCCAATTATTGCAATTTTTTAATATGTCTTTATTCTTCAAAGGGAAGGCATGCATCCTGTGTGTTTCTGTTTAGTATTGTTACCTTTAGATTCATTAAAAATAGAATCATACTAATTCTCTGTTGTCAGAACAAAAGGATTAAAGTATTATTTCAGCTTGATTTTTCATAAGTTTAATCAATAGCAGCAAGTTAATTTATTATCAGGTAAATGTTTTTCAACAATACAAAATAGCTTATTTAAAATTTTTAGTTCTAGCTGAAAACTGCGTTTGAATATATCTAAGTCCACAGTGCCTCATTATAGACTTTATGTTTTTTAAATTTATCCTTTTTCTGCTTCGGCTATTGTCACCCTATCTTCTTTCAAGAAGGAAATAAAAAGGTAAATTCAAATAATGATGTGAATACTTCTAAGTATCTAAGTTTCTTACCCAGCCAGCATCGTGTAAAAAAGAACTCCCAAACTCCAAATATCACAAGCAGCATCATATCCTTGTTGCATAAGAACCTGAGAAAGAAATAATCATAATCTTGTATGAAGCAGTATAAACAACTTTCTCACCTAAATGTTCATGATATAAAAGTTTGGATCCTTTTAATCTATTAGAAAATACATTCACTTAATACTAAAGGAACTGTGTTTCCTGCTATTAGCAAGTATTGAATAAATGCATATTTATAGATGATTAAATAATATAGATTATACAAAAACCAACCTTGTAAGATGTGATGCATAACCTCACAATAGCTTTCAGTCTTCCACTTAGGAAAACCAGACATCCAAATATCAAAATGTAAGACTAATAAGTACAGAAAACTTAATATATATGCTGCACAGTACTAAGACTTTCTTTGGTCATAGTGATCCTATGAATACAATATTACTATTCTCATTTTTAAGATGAAAGAATTGAGGCAAATGCTAAATAACTTCCTTGCAACACAAGAGATGGCAAGAGAAGACACAGTACTACACAAGTAGCATGAGTTCACATTTTACACACATGGCATTTATCTTGCAAAGAGGAGTATATTTCTGGAACACAAACATACATTTCATAAATTATGAAAGGATTCATTAACTTCTCATATAATAACTTAGGTAGTTATTTTCTTGTTCTTTTGTACAGTGTTAATAAAAATCAAATAGTATCTTATATATATGTGAGCTTTCTCTACGGAGTTAATAGTATTTGTTAGGGAAAAAAAAAGAGGTGAAATGAGGCCACAACCTTTCTTTTTCATTTAGAAAAACAAACCTCTAGGCATAGGAACAAAATTTTAAAAATTATTAATATACCAGCACTGGGGATTACATAACCAACAGCAGGAAGTTTTGATTTAAACAAGATAAAAATATTACCTCTGACAGTTACCAAACATGACTGATGAGTATGCAGCGAACATAAATTTTTTTTGCTACCATAATTTAAGATAGAACTTTTTCCAGTTAAAGAATATTTTAAAAGGACATACATAACCCTCACTCACTGAGAGTAGAAATGTAAAATGTTTATAGCAACAATGGAAAAGTAAGGTGGTTCCTCAAAAAGGTAACAGAAAAGTGGGTGAAGGTTGACATCAGACAGGGAAAGATATGACAAAATAATAATTTATAAATTATCAAGGGATCACGAGGAAGGGGGGAGCAGGGAGGGAGGGGAAAATGAGGACCTAATGCTGGGGCTTAAGTGGAGAGGAAATGTTTTGAGAATGATGAGGCAGTGAATGTACAAATGCGCTTCACATAATTGATGTACATGTGGATTGTGGTAAGAGTTGTATGAGCCCCTAATAAAATGATTTTTTTTAAAGGCCACTCTACTCTTTCAAAAGAAAAAAAAAACATATGAAATGACCACGTGACCCAAATAATGGAAAGCAGGGACGAAAACAGATACTTATACACACATACTCATTGCAGCATTATTCCCAATAATCAGAAGGTGAAAACAATTAAGTGCTCATAAACAGATGAGTGAATAAATACAACGTGGTATATCTATATAATGAAATAGTATTCAGCCATAAATAGAAATAAAGTTCTCATACATGCTGCGGCATGGATGAGCCTAGAAAATATTATATTGAGTTAAATAAATCAGATACAAAAGGGAAAATACCGTATACTTTCATATACATGAAATACCTAGAATAGGCATAGAGACCAAAGTTTATTAGCAGTTACTAGGAATAAATGGGAGGGGGAAATGGAGAGATATTGCTTAAGAGGTACTGACTGACCAATTCAACTCACAGCAACTAAGTCAATTCTGACTCATAGAGACTCTATAAACTTTCTGAGGTTTGTTAAGTCTTTACAGGAGCAGACAGCAAAGGCTATAATAAATAATAAGTTACAGATAAATTACTCAAATTACAGTAAACAAGTTGGCAACTGAATACAATATAACACCCTCCTGTTCCTACTCTCTCATCTCATCTCCTTCTTTTTCTCATCATATATTACAATACTAGACATCACCATGTTTTTCCTGGTCCCATAAGACAATATTGCAATACATTGTCATGGTTAAGGCCCACAACATTAGAACTAGTTAGACAGTTGAAGGCTAATCAGCAAATTAGATATGTGTATTTCATACTCCCATGACTGTCTTCAATTCATTAATAAGAAGGGCAGAATTGAGCAGATGTCACATTGCTTAATAAAGGCCCATCAAGAAAAACTTGTTTTAGATTTATCATATGCTTATATCCATTTGGTGTAGTGCAAGACGCAGTAAACTTTTATTCTAATGCTGGTATCAATGTTCTATAAATATAAAAACATGCAATAAAAAAGGGAATGGTGGTTCGTACAACTCTTATCTCAATCCATACATAAATCCGTTGACTTGAGCTCCTCGTTTTCTTCCCCCCTCCCCGCTGCCCCCTCCTCTCATGAACCCTTGATAATTTATAAATTATTATTATTTTATCATATCTTAGACTGTCCATCATCTCCCTTCACCCACTTTTCTGTTGTCCATCCCCCAGGGAGGAGTTTATATGTAGATCCTTGTAATTGGTTAATGATTTTAAAAAAAAAAAAGGGCAATGGTGGATAAATGAAAGACTACAGTACAGAGGGTGTGCTTCACACCTTACTTGCATCAAGTTAAATACTAGGATAGAAATGAGAATTAATGCACCAAAATCTTCTGTTTTATTTGGCTTCTCAAATCAGCAAAATGTAGCATATAGAGATATTGCCATTCCATTCATTCTAGAGTTCAAACTAATTTATACTTGGAGCAGAATGCACAGTAGGCCAGAACCAGAGCAAAGCAAGGTAATTTCGTATTTACTTTATAAAGAGCTGTACACATAGCATTCCTCAAATTTTAAGCACATTCAATTAAGGGACATTTTTAAGCTCAGTAGGCATTTACTACCTGTTCAACAATATAACATATTGAACCTCTTTTTGATAGAATGATATTTTTGAGGGATATATTAACCTTTGAAACACATGCATAGCAGCAAAGCATATTATCTAAGTACACATTAAGAGGCTTTTAGGAGATTAGAGGCAGGGCGAGATTGAAAAGTGAGCGGTGTTCCCATTTATCTGCTACCAATTAACTCACTGAACAATGAATATAAGTATACAGAATATGAGATATCAGAATTTTGGACAGCAGCTGAGGTGTTAGAGAATCAAGGTGGAGTCCAGAGATAAAGGAGAAGAGTGAGAGTCCCATGGAAGTATGGAAAAACTACCCACAAACATCTGGAGTACTCACTCGCTCACTACAGCCATTTTTGTACAGGTTGGACAATACTTCAAATGAAAATGAAGAACCAAAACTAAACTGAGGAAAATCGTAGCTTGCTTTTTAAGGCTGAGCAGATTGAAGGTGAAAATTCACAGAATGTATACTTGGGAAGGGATAAAGGGAGAGTGCCATTGTAAGACAGTACTGATGAAATTGTTCACACTTGACATAGAGGGGCACTAGAAACTAAAGCTGCTGAAAAGGCACATGGATAAAGGACATACTTCAGATGGGCATCACAAGGAAAGAGAACTAAAGTCAAGAAGACAGAGACAGAATACATGCACATGAATGAAGAATAACTGAAGCTAACAAATCTCAAGGGGGGAACAAAAGCCAAATGGAAATCTGGGATTCAATTACAAAATTTGAAATTAGAATTATGAGTATTAAAGAGCACCATGACAATAATAAAGGATAAAAAAGCATTCTCCAAATCTCCCAACTTTGAAAAGAGAACTACAGCTGAAAACATAGGAAATGACATGAATACCACTCAGAAAAAAATAAGAGCAATTCCACCAGACATCCTAATAAAATTTCCAAAAATCAAAGACAAGGTAACAATTCTGAAAGCAGTAAAAACAAATCCAGGATAATATACTAAGGGTCTTTGAAGAATCAGTGTAGATTTTTTTTCCCTGGAAATTCTATGGAGGCTAAGACATAGAGCCCACATCAGAGTTAAATAATGCTACAACATCACAAAAAACTTCATTAACAAAATAAAAATGTGAAGACACTGTTTTTTGGAATTTTTTTAGGCTAATATACTTGTTTTTCTATTTCCATTTTTCCAATGTTTTACTATGAATTACATGGGGATGTGTGTTTCAGATCATAATTTTTGTATTCAATGACTTAAAACTAATTGCTTTCTGCCCTACTCCTCCCACAGCCTTTTATTCTTTTCTCCCACCTGTAGAACAGTATCCTGCCCTTCACCGAAGACCTGTCTACCCTCTAGTCTATTGCTTTCCCTTCCCTCTCTTCTGGCCAGAAGTTCAGGCCAGATTCAAAAGAAGATGTGGAAAAAGGATATCATCCCTAATGTCAGATGGATCTTGATTTAAAGCAGAGAATACCAGAAAGATGTTTACTTGAATTTTATTGACAATGCAAAGACATTTGACAGTGTTGATTATAATAAACTATGGATAACCATGATAAGAATGGGAATTCCAGAACACTTCATTTTACTCATCTGGAAATTGTATATGGATCAAGAGGCAGTTGTGCAAACAGAACAGGGAACGCTGCATGATTTAAATCAGAAAAGGTGCGCGTCAGATTGTATCCTTTAACCACACTTCTTCAATCTGTATGCTGACCAAATCATCAGGGAAGCTGTGTTATGTGAAGAATGTGGCATCAGAATTGGCTTGTTAGAAACCTGTGGTATGGAGATGACACAACCTTGCTTGCTGGAAGTGAGGATAACTTGAAACATTTGTTATTGAAGATCAAGGATTGCTGCCTTCAGTATGGATTAAAACTCAATGCAGGAAAGACCAAAATCCTCACAACTGTACCAATAGGTAACATCAAAATAAATGGAGAACAGGTTAAAGTAATCAGGCATTTTGTCTTACTTGGATCCACAATTAATGCTCTTGGAAAAAGCAGTAAAGATATCAAAAGACCTGTTGTATTAGGTAAATCTGCTGCACAAGACCTATTTAGAGTATATTGAAAAGGAAGGATGTTATTTAGAGTGCTAAGGTTG